GTATGGATACAAATGGTTATGTTGTTGTTGTTTGATGCCGTGGAGTCGTAGACAACGCATAGGGACCCTATGAACGAAAGGCCTGAGCACTGTTCGTACATAGAGTTTCTGCAGGCAAGCCAGTTCGGAAGTGGATCCCGCTCCTGCTTCCAGGCTTGATTTAGTTGGGAAGCTCCAGCCAGCACTGTCCACCATGGGTACCTGTGATCACGATTGGCACATCACTGTCACAGTCTTCAGCATCACAGTAACCACGAGCTATACAAATGGTTATAGGAGATAGTTTTTTCAAGAAGAGTTTATGGATTAAGTGGGTCCAACAGCATCTGCAATAAAGTGGAAAGGGAAAGGAGACTGATGGTAATCAAGGTATTGAAAGATGGGAATGTACACTTCAAACTGCAAGCTTCTCCTTTAAACAATACACTTACATCAAGGAAGAGAGGAAGATGCTGCAAGGATAAAAATGGAGTCTTGATATCTAAAAAAGAAGCCTGTGTGAGGAATACAAATAATTATGATCCATTATAGTATTTGGCTCATCATTTGTGTGTTTGGCTCAACATCTGAGGTCACCATGAGCCAAAGGTAGACTTGAGGGCAGCTAACAATAACACAGTAATTCAGCATTTATACAATCACAACAGTGCAAAAACTATTTATTGATGCACTTAAATATGGTTTAATGATATTTAAAGAATATATGATGAAAGGCAGAATGAGATAGATGTTTGCAGGTTACAAGAATAAAGGTTTACAATGAGTGAGTAAACAATAATCAGAGACCTCTGGTGGGCTAGTGGTAAGGAGCTGCGCTGCCAATCCAAAGGCACACTGTTCAACTCCACTAGCTGCTCCTTTAGAGAAAAATGCACAATCTCCTCCTGTATGATTTATTGCCTTGAAAACCCACCAGAAGATCAGCTATGAGTCAGCTCTGACTCAATGGTACACATCACTAGCTTTTATTTAGGAAACAATGGAATTAACTATCAGAAGAAATAGCTGACAAAGTTGAAAAGGACTGCCTTTGGCAAGCAGGCTTTAGGAATGCGAAAGGAAGTATAAAAAAGTGTAACTGTCCTACAACCAGGAGAAGATAAAATAGATGAATGGGATCGTCTAAGAATCAAATCCCTATGCACATCCAAAAACTTCTCCAACAGGGTAAAAAGGGAAGTCACAGACTGGGAAAAAGTATTAGGTAATGACATATCAGATAAGGAATTTATATCCAGAATTTATAAAATACTTGAGCACCACAACAAGATAAAGGTAAATAATCCAATAGAAAAATGGGCACAGGATATGAACAGACACTTCACTGAAGAAGACATTCAGATGGCTAACAAGCACATGAAGAAATGTTCAAAATCCCTAACTCTAAGAGAGATGCAAATCAAAACAACTATGAGATATCATCCCAACCCAGTCAGAATAGAAAAATAGAACAGCAAGCAACAAATGCTGGCAAGGTTGTGGAGAAACTGGAACCCTTATTCACTGTTGGTGGGAGTGTAAAATGGTGCAACCACTATGGAAGGCTGTATGGCGATTTCTCAAAAAGTTGTAAATAGAGATACCATTTGACCCAGCAATTCCATTACTGGGAATATACACTAAAGAAACCATAACTGCCACCTAGGCATATACATGCACACCCATGTTTATCGCAGCTTTATTCATAATAGCAAGGAGTTGGAAACAATGTAAGTGCCCATCAATAAATGGATAGAGAAGCTCTGGTATATTCACACAATGGAGTACTATGCTGCATTGAAAAACAAAGAACTCATGCAATATTATTAAAAATGGGTGATCTTGGAGGACATTATGCTGAGTGAAATATCTCAGTCGCAAAAAGGACAAATACTGCATAGTGCCACTGTGGTAGAATGGGACTGACATCAGGATTAGGGTGAGATTGAGAAAAATTGGATAGATTATGTATACTGCATTGAAACAGATGAGGGAGAGAACTGTTTAAAAGCGATATATGATTGGGTATTATGGTTATGATAAGAGTCCAGAATGAAGGTTACATAGTGGAGTGTGCTCAGGGTGGGGAGGGAGGGATTGTATACCAATGAAAGAATTTTTCTTTTACTTTTCAAAAAGAAGAGCAAACTGGGGGGGGAGAGGTGGGCGGGGAGAAAAATGCAACAATGAGTGAATGTTGTTAAGTGCCGTCATTTGCGACTCAGCGACCCTATGTACAAGAGCCCGAAACTCTGTTCTGTCCTGTGCCAATCTCATTGTCCTTGACACACTCATGCTGATTATCCCAGTCACCGAATCAAGCCATCTTCTAGAGGGCCTTCCCTTTTGCGCCTGCCCTCCACCCTCCCAAGCATGATGTCCTTCTCCAAGAACCTGTCCCTCTTTACAACAGGACCAAAGTATGTCATACAAAGCCTCAGAATTCTTGCCTCCAAGGGGCAGCCCAGTTTAACCCTCTCCAAGATGAATCTGTTTTCTTAGCAGTGCATGGTACCCTCAAAACTCTTCTCCAACACCAAAGCTCAAAGGCATCAATTCTCCTTCCATCCTCCCTAGTCATTGTCCAACTCTCTGACGCATAACATGTGATTCCAAAGACCATGGCCTGTATCAGACTCACCTTAGTCTCCAGAGAGACATCGTTGCTCTTCAGTACTTTAGAGAGGTCCCTAACAGCAGACTTTCCCATGAAATACATCTTTTAATTTCTTGGCTGCGGGTGCCAAGAGTGTTGATTGTGGAGCCAAGCAGACTAAAGCTGTGAACAATCTCAATCTCTTTACCATCCATCCTGATGCTGCCAATTGGTCCATGATTTAATGGAAATGAAAAAAAAAAAACCCACACACAAAAAAACCCCCAAAAAACAACCAACTAAACTCCAAATGCGTATGGTAGAGTTTTGGGGGTCCCTCCTCTTATTAAAGTACAAAAGATTACAGAAAACAAAACTTTTAATTCCATCCTTCAGTAATTAGTCTTTTGGATGTATTTCTAGTCATATTTTTGTACTTACACATTGTAAAAAAATTAATGTAGCCTTATGCTCTATTTTAATTTATTGTATGTACTCTGTGTTAAAGGCTGGTTTTTTTTAAAAAAAGAAGTTTTAAGATATTTTATTTATTGTATGAATGTCTCATAGCTTAATAATTTTCCTGTTATTGCCTATTTTGATTATTTATAAATATTTGCCATTAATAAGTAATTCCATAGCCTAATGCTCTCAAGCCTAAGGGTCACTAGGAGTTGTCTATAACTCAGCAGTACTTAACAGCAATAACAATGACAACAGAGAGAGCTACATTGGCCTAGTGGACAGAAAGTTATGGTACCAAGCACAAAGTAGGTGTTTTGAATATGCGGTCCTCAGACTTGGTTTAAATTGGTTTTTGTCAAACATCCTTCTAAGTGGAATAGCACTAGTCTGTGCATTCTGTACAGAGGTAACTCGTGGTTGCTGTAATGCTAAACATTGTGACACTGATGTGCCAAATGCAATAATGGTTATCCATGGTGGACAATGTTTAGAGGAGCTCCCCGATTAAAACAAGGTTGGAAGCAGGAGGGGCAGCCACTTCCAAAATGAAACTCTATGAACAGTGCTCAGATCTTTCATTCATAGGGTCGCTAAGAGTTGTCTATGATTCGACAGCACTTAACAACAGTAATTTAAGAGGTAGATTTTTGGGTTAGAAAAGAAGGGTGCTGTTTGAAGCGAATTTACAGTAAAGGCAGTGAAACTTCTAAGGCCCCTGGTGAGTTGGGATTTTTCGTAAGTGAGAAAGAACTTCCTAGTGCAATCAGTCAGCAAGGAGCAAACTCTCAGAAGGGGCCTCAGAGAAAGCGACTGATTTTTCCAAGCCCACAGTCACCGTGTTTGTAGTGTTTTCAATTTTTAAATAAATATTCCCTCTTTCACACACCTAGGTTGGTCTTGGGTGTTATCAGACGTAACCGGCGCTGGGATTCACTCTTTTCACTAATTTATTCCTTTTAATTCTTGTTCTTTCAGGGAGTGAGGACAAGTTTCCCCAGTAATATTTATAATATGAAAGGGCTTCCTTTGCTTATCTTACCTGCAGTTCACCAAGAAAGGACTGTAAGCTCTTTCAGGACAGAAACAAAATTGTTAACATCTCAGTGTTTCTATGTTTCAGGCTCAGATTTTGAAAGTGTTTAATGAATATTCGTTGAAGGAAAAGACGAATTTGAGTGTCACTGTTTAGTAGTCTTTTCTCTGCTCTATCTCTTTATAAGAGACTCTGAGGTATGCAAAAGGACAGGCTGTTGCAGGAATTAGAGTCGAAAGGAAATAGAGTTGAGTGAGGGTGATTTTTGCAAAGCAAAACTAGTCTTTCTAGATGTCATTTTGAACGGTTATGTATCAGGTATACTAATCTCAACTCAGTTTACTTTTGGAAAGGATTATTTGTTTAGATATTTTGTACATAACATTTGGCTCATTTTACGTCTTTTTTTGTTTCCTCTTTTGGTAAACTGAATTATCAGGATATAAGCCTATTTTGGGGACCTGCTTCAAATGGGGTCCGCCAGTACTGAGTTTAGCTTTCTAACAATGACCAATTTGCACACCATGTGTGCAGTGTTAGATAGCTATTGAAGGCTCGCCAGAAACTAAGCATCTACATCTCTCAGCCACTTTACACTCATACCACCTGCTTCAACCCCGAGGCGGTCTCTTGACCCTCCGCGACCTCTTTGTCATGGCGTCCGCGGGGCGTCGACAAGCTGGGGCCTTGGCACTCAGCCGGTGCCGACCTTCCCAAGATGGCGACGGCGGGGGTCAAAGCGCGCTGGGGCGGGGCCCAGCTACCGGGGGCGGGGCCAGAAAACCGAGGGGTTGGGCTAGCGGGCGGGCTGTCTCTGTAGCTGGCCGGAAAAGTGCGCCTGCGCGGAGTGGCCCTGCGCGCAGCGAGGCAGTGGCGGGGGAAGGCACCGGTGGGGCCGACGGGCGGGTTGAAGGAGGGAAGCAGGCGAGCGAAGTCCCAGTGCGCGCCGCGGCGGCCCGGGTACCCTCCCCTTCCGGGCGTGAGGCGCTGTGAGAAGAGCTGAACCGAACGGACTCGAACCAGCAGCGAGGAGCCACTATCGCCGCCACAGCCCGGCCTCCCTCGGCTTCGGCGCTCCCGTCGTGGGGGCCCGGTTTCCTCAGTACACCCAGCACCAGCCGCCCCCAGAGTCTGCTCCCAGCCCTTCGAAAGCCCCGGCGTCAGCCCGGGCCCTTAGCGGGGAGGATGACGGAGTTGCAGTCGGCGCTGCTACTGCGAAGACAGCTGGCAGGTGAGCGGGCGGGTGGCAGGGCTCCGGGCCCGGCCGCGGTCTCGCTGAGTCCGCTGGACAGTGCCTTCTCCCAGCCCTCCCGGAATGGGAATCAGACGGCTCCGGGACCTGCGGGAGCTGCCAGCGAGGCCGGCTCCCGGCCTGCGAGGGTCGGAAGCCCGAGTCGTCGGTGCCCGCCGGGCCCAGCACTTCTTCCCCGGCTTTGAGGGTGTTGGGGGCGGGGACGCGTCCGCGCCTCGGCCCCAGGACGGGGCCTGGAGCCCGGCGGGGGGAAGGGGTGCCCCCTCCCCCTTCGGTGGGACGTTGCGGGGAAGGGGCTGGGGGGGTTGGGGGTTCTCCACCCCGGACCAGCCCTCCTCTTCTGGGCGAGTCTCGGGCTCAGGTGCGGTGGCTGCCTCCGGACGCTGGGGACTGGCAGGGGTGCCCGGGCTCGGCACGGGTGCGGATCCCCGGTCCGGATGTGCAGGGCGGCCGAGCCGCAGGCAGGCAGCCGGGGGCCGCAGTGGGTGAAAGGAACTGGCCTCCGGCGGGATAGACGAGGCGCGCAAAACTTCTCCCCGGGCCGCTCAGGGTCTGCGGAGTTGTGGCCGACAACAAAAGCGCCGGCCTCCGCGGCCTCGTCGCGGGCGCGCGGTGTCAGAGGAGCTGGCGGGGCTGCGGGACGCCTCCTCG